GGACCCTTAAGAACCAGGGTTGTAAACTGATCCTGCTGGTCTAATCCTAACTTGAGGTCCTGTTCTCATGCATTTACATTTCTGTGAAGACAAACTTTAGAACCAGAAAGCCATAAATTAACTTTACATTTTGGCCTAAACCGTTTTACCACATGTCAAAGTGTCACTAAATCTTGGCTATTACATTTCTGAGATGACCTGAAACCGTAAATATTGGTTTAAGTGTGGCAAGCTGGAGAAACGAGGGACCAGGTGGGATTAGACTTGCCCTAACCAGTCAGCCAAAGGAACCTCTCTTGGCTAAGTAGCCAGGGTGCATGATCAGTTGGGTCAGTGAAAGGATCCTGAATGATCAATTCAGTCATAAGATAATATGTATATTAACATGTCATACAAATACCATTTCTCACTAACATATACATTTTGTATATGGTATCTTGTGACTGAATAGGTGTAGGCAGAAGCAATAGCTTATATAATTGCCGAACCTACTTATAAAACAATTTTTCAATTTCCCACAAAGACCCAACAACCCAAATAAAAATGAACACAAATCGATCCATCAACATCAAATACTCTTAAATATTTTTACTGATAAGTTTAAGAACTGAAAGAAGTTGCTAATTTTAATTCTATTTTAGCCTCATTCCAAAATTTTACCCCATTACAGAGATGCATCTCCTTTTCATGCCCTTTTTGGCTATTTGTAGAACAAACACACCCCTTAAATCATATTTACTTTCCCTCTTTGCAAAAAACTTATTTTCTGGCAGAGCCGTTAATTTAACTCAACATAAATTGCATTATTTTGTAATAATATAGATCTAATTTCATAATCTGTGATTTTGAAAACAACGGGTCAGTATGAGCATAATAATTGCTCTTGTTTATAACTCGAATAGATTTCTTTTGTAAAGTTATTTCATGTATATATGTTTTAAAAGTTGAACCCCGCATTTCTATACAATATGCCATGTATGGTTGTATTAGTGAACAGTATATTAGACGTAAGGCATTATGGTTTAGTATGTCCTTCAGCTTATATAATAGACCCAAAGATTTGGCAATTTTTCCTTTTATATAATTTAAATTATGCTTCCAGGATAAGATAGTCAATCACAACACCAAGAAATTTTATTTCAGACACTCTTTCAATTTCAGTATCTGAAATTGTTAATTTAAAGTCCCCATTTTTTACCTTCTTATTTCCAAAGATCATAAATTTAGTTTTTTTTATATTCAGTGATAGTTTATTTACATCAAACCAAGATTTGAGGATATTTAACTCTTTTTCGGCCTTCTTTAAAAGTTCTTTTACATCTTTACCTGAACAAACTAAATTTGTATCATCTGCAATCATTATAAATTTGAAAAAATCTGTCACGTTACATATGTCATTTATGTATAAAGTAAATAATATAGGACCTGTTACTGACCCTTGTGGAACTCCACAACTTATTTCTCTAAATCCAGATTTTATATCTTTAATTTTTACATACTGTTGTCTGTCTTTTAAGTAACTCTCTATCCAGGACTTTGCTTTACCTCGTAGGCCATAATTTTCCATCTTTTTTAATAATCTCCTGTGGTCAATGGTGTCAAAAGCCTTCTTTAAATCAACAAATATGCTAAGAGAGAGTTCTTCGCTTTCACTTGCTTGGGCTATTTCTTCTACCATCTGCATTATCGCATAGGTAGTAGTTCTGTTTTTTTCTAAATCCATATTGACTATCACTTAATAATTTATTTTTAGTAATATACTGTATATGTCTAGCTGGTTGACAAATAATTTCTCGAGTATTTTTGAAAATTGTGGAATAATTGCTACAGGCCTATAGTTTTCCATAGAATGCTTATTTCCAGTTTTAAATATTGGGATCAATTTTGTTATCTTCATAGTTTTAGGAAAATGACCTTTATGTAGTGATAGGTTTTATATATATATAGTTTTAGGAAAATGACCTTTATGTAGTGATAGGATATATATATATATATATATATATATATATATATATCCTTATATATTGCAAAGGATATCATTGACGTGTGTGTATATATATATATACACACGTCAATGATCTCACAATAGAGAATATAACTTTTTTTATAATTCCCATATCAATTTCATTTATATCTGTGGATTTTTTGTTTTTAAATTTTCTTACTGTATTTACAACATCAGTCTCACTTATCTCATGTAGAAACTTTGAGTTGATATTACTATTTATCAGATTATTAAATGCATCTGCATCAGGTGGGACTGCTATCTCATTTGCTAATGAGGGGCTGACGCTTACAAAAAATTGTTAAATTCTTCCACTATATTTATTAGATCATTTATGATTTGAACTATTTAGAAAGTAGTTTGGCCATTCCAAAGTTGTCGTCCTTTTTTGAATTATATTATTTAATATTTTCCACGTCCTACGAGTATCGTTTCTGTTTTCATCTAAAATTTCATCATAATATTGCTTCTTTCTGATCCTAATAGCTGTAGATAATTTATTCTCATATTTTTTGTAATTGTCTTCATTTTCACTTGTCCTATGTTTGATGAATTTTTCATAGAATACCATTTTCTTTTTACATGCCTTTAACAGACCTTCTGTCATCCACAGCTTTCTTTTATAATTTTTCTTTGTCTTATATTGTCTAATAGGGCAATTTTTATTATATACCTCTAAGAATATTGACAGAAAGGTATCATATGCTTGGTTTGTATCGTCTACATACACCTGATCCCAATTGTGATTCAAAAGTTCTGCTTTGAATGCCTCAATTCTTTCTGCTGTCTTCCATCTCACCAATATAGTAGAATCATCATCCTCCTTATGTAGGGGTCTAAAAATGTCCATATTTGAAATTGTAAAAACAGGAAGGTGGTCACTAATATCATTTATTAGCAAACCACTCAAAGATTGACTGCAAACATTTGTAAATATATTATCAATTAATGGCACTATCTTTAGTTATCCTGCTTGGCCTATCAATCATAGTCCAGAGACCAAAATTAAACATCATATTCAAAAAATCTAAGGTTAACTTATGTTCCTCCCATTTGATCAAATCAATATTAAAATCACCACAAACAAATACATGCTTCTTAGCACAAATCCTTTGCAATATATCAGCAGTATTCTGTATAAATGTTTCAACACAACAACCTGGTGTTCTATACATGCAACTCAAAATAATGTTTTTCCTTTTGGTGAAACGGATTTCTATTATTATACTCTCCATAATGTCATCAATAACTGCACTATCAATTACTTTACACTCAATATGCTTCTGTACATAGAAGGCAACACCCCCACCTTTCTTATTATTCCTATTTACGTTAAACATATTATAACCCTCCAATTCAAGACATGAATCTGTTTTTTTTGTTAGCCAAGTCTCACTAATTGCAATAATTTGAAACTTATATTTTAGTGACCTTAACAAATCTTTAATTTGACTAAAATGTGTATGGAGACTTCTGCTGTTAAAATGTGTGATAGAGAGTCCTTCTATTTTAAGTTTGTTTAACTCTTCTTCATAATAATGTTCTGATTTTGATTTGTTTTGATTGTAAAAATGTACCTCTGGATCAATATTATTTTCAAAACCAAATAATTTCTGGTCAGATACATTTGACCCTTTTAGGCTTAATTTTGTCTGCATTTCTTAATTTTCTGATTGTCATTTCCATTTTTAGATGTTAAACTATTGGTTTTCCAGTAAAAAGTGATCTTCATAACACTGAAGCACTTGGGCTACCGGATCCTCCCTTGTGGTGTCCTCCTCGGGGGCTTCATCCTCACGTTGTAAATCTTTAGCTGTAGTTCTTAGATGACTTTGATGCCTCGTTTCCAGCCCAATACTTTGTAGATCCATGTCTTTATAGACTTCTGTTCTTTGTTTCAGTCTTCTAGTCTTTTGATCCATGAGATTATTTTGTTGCATTGTCTCTATATTCATTTCCACACACCAGAAAATGTGTGATATCCTTTTTCTGTCCAGCTCCATTTCCAAGCTAGCTGTTTCTTGATGATATGGTATCCCCTTCTTCAGAACCAAAGTGTTATGAATAAAAAAAAGTGTACTAGAAACAACAAAAATGTAACCATTTGTTGTCCAGTTTTTAGCAAACAACGTTGTAATCATTTTAGGCTTTTGTTCTTTATCTTCTTTATCTGTATTGCTCCATCTCCTCGAGGCTTCGAACCATAACCACTTTTGCTTGTTCAGGTGATCCATTTAGCTTTACAAACACTCTTCCATTTCTCACCCATGTTGCTTGAATTTTCTTTTGTTTCATTAGTATCCGGCCAGTTCTGGCTATTTCAGCATTTTTTTTGCCAAGTGTTCGTTTACATAAACACCAGAACCCTTTAGCTTTCTAGATTGACTCAATATATCAATCTTCTGCTTTCTGTTTACAAGCTGTACCACAATTGATGACTTATTTCTGTTATCCTTTCTTGGAATAGTGTAGCAAGCAGAGATGTGCCCTTTATTTAGATTAATCTTCTTAACGCTGAAGAACTGAACAACCTGTTCCTCCAGTGTGTGTAGCTCTTCAGGTGGTGCCTCCTCACCTTGTTGATCTCCCGCTGTAGCTCTTGCATAACTGCGATGCTTTGTTACCAGCCCAGTGATGAGTATATCATTTGCTCGAGCATTTTGTTCCAAATCATCAATTCTTTGTTCCATCCTCTCAATCTTCTGATCCTTCTGTTTGATTGAGGTCTTCAGTTCCTGTAGCTCCTCCATTAGGCCCATGAGGTTAGCCTGTTGTTTAGCAACCTTGCTAATTTCTTCAGACAAAAAGTTCAAGGATTGTTTAATTTCTTCCAACTCTTCTGCCAATTTTTTGGCTGTAGCCATCTTTTGCCGATCTTGTTTTTCGTCTTTTTAGACAGATTTCATTTCATTCTTGAAGGAAAATTAGAGGATTTCCTGAGACATGAAAGTCATGCAGCCCCCCCCCCCCCCCCCCCCCCCCCTGTCATACTCGGTGTTACTCCCCTCGAGTCTTAATAAAGCTCAACTTGTTCTTTGGTTTTACTGACATTTATTTCGGACAGGAGGATTCTTCGACATGTCTTAACATGTAATGATGTCCAACCACAGCCGATACAATGCCGTCAGAACTAAAAAGAAATACAAACTTAAATGAATATTCTTAATAAATTCCTTGAGCATTATATGACAAACAAGTCAACAAACTGCGGTAACTGCACTAGAATATCACGCAAATTTAAATAATTTACATATACAACCATAATAAACAAAAGAAAACATTTACCTCATTGGCCTCACTCAAAGGGAATAAACTTTAATCCTTACGCCGTGAGGTAGTCCAAAAAAGGCACTCTTTTATTTAACTTACTGCAGACGTGCAACCTCGTGGCTCGTCTCTTAATTGCTTGCTGAGTGTGCCAAGAAAAATGCCCCCTTAGCAACAACGGATGGAACTATAGAAAAGGTTCCCATCTAATTGCACAGTTAACACAAATACACATTTAAACATATAAATCTAATGAACAGAACATGAATTACTATTGAAATATTATTTCTCAATCTTTCACATTGTTTCAACATTAAATCCAAATGAACTTAAATGCGAGAGTTGCCTTTGACGGCAGCAACACTCGGTCTCGTAAGTAAAATTTTTTTTATACCTTTATCAGTCATTGGGCTAGCTGCTGTCCGGCTATTCCTGCAGTCCCCGTGCTCCAACTCACCTGGCCTCAGAAATGAGCAGGCCTCTGAGGACATGCAGAAGACACAAATCAGTGGAGACCTCAAGGCGTGTTGGCCGTCCAGGGACAGGGTTCAACAGCTCTGGAGATGAGGCAACATTTCCTGAACAGATTATACGTTACACCACTTTTCATTCCTCTTTGAAACTTTAAATTAGGTAAAGGAGTTATGGGGCTTCTGGACGTTTTTAAAACGAGTATCTACCAGTGCTTGGGCTGTGCTGCAAAAGCGCTGAGCTACAGTTATCAGTGCCTGTAAAAGTCAGATTTGTGTCCACACATGTCTGCTATTAGCCATGGTGCCCATCTTCAATGGAGCTAAAGACTGACTGAAAAGACTTTTATTTTGAGCTGAACCTCCTGGGGGGTTAACGTCAGACCCAAACAGGCTGCTGTGGGCCACGTCCACAGGTGAGGAGAGCAGCGGGCACGGCCGGATTAACCAACTGGGCAATTGCCCAGGGCCCACGAACTCTAAAGGGCCCAGGGCAGCAAGGGCACGAGCAAAATACTGTATCTGTAATCTCTGGCTTTATATTAAACTAGGGTGACCTTACGTCTTGTTTTCCCCGGACATGTCCACTTTTCACTCTGTCCAGGGCGTCCGGACTGGGAGTTCTTGATGAAAATGTCCGGCTTTTCATCCAGGAGCAGGGATCGAATTATGGGGGAGCTGGATATCCTACACATCCAGGGGAGCCGGAAAAAAGTTTTCTACCTATATTACATCATTTATAGACTCTTTTGAGCAGAGAGCACATATAGCGATGATCGTTGTTGCGCAGCGCTCCAGGCAGCTGCTTCCAGCGCACGGTCCATTCTCAAAGTGGCGCAGCCAAAAAACTATAATTAACACACGATCGTTCATGTCCGCACATGTTCTCTACTTTCTGTCTTATTTGTGCCTGAAGCGCTCTGCTGCTGCGGAGCTCATCTGTGCTGCGGTGATTTCACCACACTGACGCGACGCTAGCTTGCATCTCGTCATTTCATCTCCACCAATGGTTGCTGTAAATGTCACCAAAAACGTCATTTCCACTCGCGGTTTAAACTTTATTGCATTTATATAAAGCAGCGCTTATTAATGCTCTGTCCGCACTTTTTTTAGCTTTTACTAAATAAAAATAATATTAAAAGTAGAAAGAATTTGAGCTGGAACAGGAAGTTGCTTAGCTTGTGCGCGTGCCTGAGGGAGAGGCGCTCGAGCCGTTTTTGGCTGTTTATCATTTGTGCCGATGATTTAATAATCTGCTTTCATGTCACATGAGAACAAAACGGAAGAGTTTCCAGCAAACGCAGGTTAGTAAAGCTTACTGGTGTTTTTACCAGAGTTGTAACTACTAAATGAACCTTATCTGATACTAAATCCAACGATTCTTATAAATACTTCATTATAAAATCCCATAAAAGAATAACATGTAACAATGCATTTCCTTTAACCATTTTATTTAGTAGGTTTCAAAGGAAAAATGCTGGTAAAATCTAGATGAGTAATGACTCATGTCTGAAACTAATCTTAGCACACGTGTTATTTAAACACCTTAAACTTTTTCCAGTTTAAATAGAAAAATCATTATGAAGGATATGTGAAAGTCCTTGTGATCAGCTGTGATTTTTTGCTGTTTTAGGGCATTTGGATCTTTGTAAAAAAAGTTTTCAGTTCAGAGCAGACCTGTTTTAGGATCTTTGCTTGTTTGTTCATGAGATGCCTGCAACATACAGTCCTGTGTAATTCAGTATGTTATGATCACTAACAGGAAGTTAGAAGACAACGAAAGAAAATCATAATATTTTTAAAAAGAAAAGACCCCTTTTGCATCGACATTTAGAGTCAGCCCAAAGAGAATTGTTTTTGAAGAAATCCCTGTATTTCTTTACTTTTATTCATCAGTAAAAGTGTTTTTGCAAGAAAACTATAGATTTTCATTCAGGGGAGACATTTTCTTTTTACTCAAGTGTGTTAAAAAGAAGCAAATATCTAAAGCCCTTGGTAATTATTCAGTTTACATCACAAATTAACGATATTTATCTAATTCAGGTTTCACCCTTTTGCATCAGGTTTGTCTAAGTGTCTATTGGGCCATTCCCATCTGTACCGGGTCGGCCCCAGCCTGGCCCGGTTGATTCCACACATCCTTGTCTTAAGCCCATGTGGGCTGATTCTACCCACCAATCAGAGGCTTGCTCTAATGGAAGGTGTGAATTTGCTGTCAGCAGTGGGTGTGTTGGCCCTGGTCGGCCTGAAGCAGACCCCCTCGAGAAGAGGGCTGAGAATGAGCCTTGGTTGGCCCGGAAAAATACCAGGCCACCCAGATATGTAAACAACCTACGCTACCTTGCCCTGGCCGACCCGGTACAGATGGGAATGGCCCTTATGTCTCCCATAGCAGTAATATTTTATATTAACATTTTAATTAATTCCTTTTAGCTTTTCTAGAGTGCACAGAAATGTCTGGAGGACTTCATGCAAGTACTGTGTTTCTGAGATTGTATGAATTTAATTAAATATTTTGTGCTTTCAGGCCACAAGTAGCTCTTTGTCTTCTTCCCCCATAAAATCCCGTCTCCACATGAGAAAGAAGCTCTTCAGGCTCTCACGGTCAGTAACCAAACCTCACATAAACATACATACAGATGATGCAGGTTCACCAACCGGCAGATCTCACTTTAACACATTAGACTTCAAATTTTAAATTAATCTTTTTTTATTGTTTGAACAAGACAAATACCAATGGCATGATATTCATCAGTATTTTGATGTACAGTATCTGTTTTTACTGAAAGGTCATCATAGTACCCAGGGGCGGCGTTAGGCCCGGCAACTTGGGCTGAAGCCCCGGATGTTTCATGAAAAGCCCCGGATCTAAATCGCGGAAGTAACATGCAGTACCAAAGTCCAACAGAGAGGGAGCAGCTGGCAGTAGTTTGTATACAGCCTGCCTGAACCTCCACCACTGAAGAAGCCCTTCAGCAGCCGGCTTCTTCTGCAGTCTCTGCCTGAAACGCATGAGTGAAGATGGACATAAGGACGTTTTTTAGACCAAAAGTACGACAGAACCCCAACTTTGATGAGACTGGTGTTGACTCAGGTTTGTGAGTCTTATTTGAAAATATTTGTTGTGCTGCTGGTTTGCCTAAAGTTAGCTTACTATCAGGTAAAGTTGATGGAGAAAGAAAGGGAATATTTACTATCATCTCACACTAAACACTAACAGGAACAATACTCTGCCCTGAAAATGCTTCATATGTAGCTTCAGATTAAACATTATGTGGTACAAGACATATATATGATGTTGACTAGTGCGTGTCACGTGTGTGTGTGCGTGCGTGCGTGTGTGTTAAGCCCCGGATCTTCTTCAGTCCTAAGCCCGCCCCTGATAGTACCTCCAATGATTTAGTCCATTTCCTGTGGAAGAGAGCAATCTTGTGATTAGCACTAAATTACTGCATGAGCAAGAAAAATGAGGAATAAATCTGCTGAGAACTTACACCGTTTGATGCCGTGAATCTGCTGTGAATCGTAACTTTTCAAGGGTTCGGTGAATCGCATCATGTGACATTTAAGGCTGTTAACCACAAACAAGCAGTGCAGAGAAAAAATCACATCCTTTTTTCTTGTGTTTTTGACTTATTTTCACTTCCAACGTGTCCGGAGGCAACGATAATGTTCTCTTTGGTGCTTTCCAGGTTCTGGAGGCTTGTATGAACAATTGTGGAAAGCGGTTCCACGGCGAGGATCTAAGTTTCGCTTTCTGAATGAACTCATCAAAGTCTTAACGTCAAAGGTAACTCACAGGTGTCAGAGCTCGGTCTGTCATAGACCCACTAACATAAATCAGTGCAGTTAATAAAAGTATCTGAAAACCTATCTGGTCCAAGTTTAACACAGTTTTTCACTTTGAAAAGTAGATAGTTGGTGTTTAATTTGTCCTTACAAAATAAGCTTTGCCTTTGGTTTACTTTAAAAAAAAACTCAATTCATTTGAGTTTAGTTCTTCAAAAAAAAAAAGAACTCAATATGAAGATTTGTGTAACATACTTTATTCATCATAAAGATAGTTTTTGTTGTAGTAAAAACAACCAATATTCCAAAGCTACAGCAAATTATAAATGAAAACCTAAACGTCGAGGATAAACTGATTCTGGTTTTTAGAGCCGATACCGATTTGTGATTCTTGTGTAGTTCTGACCTGCCAAAACAGATTTATTACAAAGAACTAGCTAACTGGAAAGTCCAGAAGCCACACGGGAAGATCTGACATTCACTTCAGACTTCAGGTACCAGACCAGATCTGGTTTGGGTTTAATGAAAACTTTATATTACTTTTAATAAAGTTTAATAACAACTCCAGTGTAGAGGTCGCCGGATCGTAATTTCTGAACTGGATCTAGTTTAATAAAATGTTAAATTGTCCTCTTCATGAACCTTCACCGACATTTAAATAAACTTGTTTCACAAATCTCACACCAGTCCAGGTTCATCTGAATGCAATTAGCTCGCCGAAGAGGCGCTGCTTTCTTCTTAAACATGATGTTGAGGTGGGTTGTGGTCATTTATAGAAGACGCGTCTCGATAGAAAAAAGGATCTGAGCTCTGGTTTATGGAGGAGACCTCCAGATGTTTGGAGTCCCTCAGTCTGGTAACCTGAAACGTTCTACTGTTAGATTTCCTTTGTTCGTCTACCTTTGAAGTCCGGTAGGTGAGCAAACGAGTGTCCGAGGCAGATGACGGCATCAAACCCGCCTCCTGGTTTCTGAGCATCTTCAGGTAACGTCAGCCAGTTGGCCTCTTCGATTACTGTTGATGGAGAAGGGAGGAGAACATGAGGTCCGATGAGGTTTAGATGTTTTCTAAAGCAGGTTTTTCTTACCCCACTGATCGAATGCTGCCTCTTTCCTTCTGTCCCATCTGGCCTTCAGAGCGTATTTGAGCATTTTATTGCTGGCTTCCACGCTGACCATGTTAAAGCCCTCCTCCACCAACATGATGGAGTCTACCCTGCAAAACAAACACAAGCTCTATTAACACACACACACACACACCTGTTTACCTGTCTGTCCGTTTTCACACACCTAATGACTTGTCAGCAAAACAAGTCAGGATAAAATGACTGACGTGGCTTTCAAAGTAAAAGCAGACTTCCAGGTTAAAATAACAGCTGAGTAGCGTTTTCTTTTTATTATTTATAAAATCAGATGAATAAATTGTCTTGATATTTATCATCTCCCCATATCGTGCAGATCTCCTCGATCCAAACCCGTGTCCGTCTTCGTGGGAAGCTTTTCAGAACGGATTTGGTACCGGTGTTTTAGGAGGGAATGTCTACCAGGTAAAAATAGACAACCACTAACCAGAGACGAGTTGTTCTAAGAAAACCTGGAATGGTAAATGGCCTGTATTTGATATAGCGCCTTCTAGAGTCCTGGAACCCCCCAAGGCGCTTTACAACACAACCAGTCATTCACCCATTCACACACACATTCACACACTGGTGGGGATGAGCTACAATGTAGCCACAGCTGCCCTGGGGCGCACTGACAGAGGCGAGGCTGCCGAGCACTGGCGCCACCGGTCCCTCCGACCACCACCAGCAGGCAACGTGGGTTAAGTGTCTTGCCCAAGGACACGACGACAGCGACAGACTGAGCAGGGCTCGAACCTGCAACCTTCCGATTACGGGGCGAGCTCTTAACTCCTGTGCCACCGTCGCCCTGGAAGAGGAACCTGAACCAAGGCCAAACGGAGAACAGGGTCGTGTTTCATCAGAACCGGGACCAGGAAGAGCTCAGTCCGATGATTAACAACCCCGGGCCCAAAGCAGGACTAAACTAAACCAGAGTTCTCCGTTTGTAATCTGTAACCATTCAGAGAAGAAATCCAAACGGAATCAAAGCTGAAATTTAAAAGAAAAGCTGCAGCGGTTCTGTTTGGGTTCTAACAGCTCGTGTTTACACGGCTCCGTCCTGCTGATCAGACAAACTCCACTATGGATTGTGCTTGAGGACAGGTTGCTGGTTCACTTCCTCTGAGCGTGTAACATGAGATAAGCTGCAGGATGTTTACTAGAAGGATTTTAATTAGAAAATGATTGGAGCGGTTCTGGTTTCAGCTGTAGGTCCGTTTCTGTCAGGAAAAAACTAATCCTGAGTCTGTGGCCTTGACATTGACCCACACTGATAAACTATCAGAAGCAACGAACAGTCTGCACAGAACCAGCCACAACTCCTGCAAACTGCCCAACACCTGCTCCAGAAGACAGTCAGTCTGGTTTCTGGACCTGAGCGGACCAGGACCCACAGCTGCAACTTTCACTCATTATTCTCAGCACTAATCCGGATTGTGTCCAGCGTTAGGAGGGTCAGCGAGTTCAAACTCCACAAAAGTCAAACCTGTAACAAAACATCTATTTGTTCTGCAGCAACAGTCTGGAATCACACACGGCCCACGCACCACACTTTGGACCACCGAGAATCCTCATTGTGTGAGCAGCCTGAAACTCAAAAGTCTGGTTTATTTTTGTCCCTGAATGCATCCCTGCCGAGCAGCAAAGAAATTCTGACCTATTCCCGGTTCATGACCCGATTATTGCCAAGTGCTAATTTATGCTAGCAATAACAGATTTTCATGTTTAAGTTTTTAATCATAGAAACTAAATTTTTAAGTTAATCTCAAACATATTTCTTAGAGAAAAGTCGGTATCGGCCAATCTGAGCTGTACAGAAATGGGTTTTTGGTTGATATCTACTCTCAAAAGCAGAATCGGTGCATCTTTAGGAGACTTTTAGGGAAATCCTTCAGGAGTTTCCTTCTCAGACTTCAGTAAAACACGATTACTACACGATGACTTGTGATTTTTAAAACAGGGTTCCGCAGGATTATTCAGACCCGGAACCACGGCCACACCTGTAATGAACCTGCCAGTGCATGTCAGACTTCATACCTGTACCTGACTAAGCATTAAATCAGATTATTCTGTGGGTGGATGATCGAGTGCGAATCTGGAGGAACATTACCCGGTTCCGCAAGGGACGTCCAGAACCTTCCGAACCCCGTGCTGGCGGAGCAGAGACACCAGCCAGCTCTTGTACTCCTGGGTTAGGCTCTGGGTGTCTCCGATGTACAGCTCCCACACACTATGACTGCTTTCCCGTCGGCGTACTGGTCCGGAAGAGCCTCGGCAGCCACACCGAGAGACCGGGTGCGAAACACGCTGTCTACCGACATACTGCCGCTGGTTCCGGTCGGGTTGGTACCTGTTCGTTTACTCGGTTTGAGGCGTTCTGGTTCCTACAGACTTGCTAACTGGCTCGCGCTCCACATGCTAACCCGATTTCCTGTTGTTGTTTTATACAAACAGCGCTGCCAGCAAACTGTAAGCCAATCACGCGCCGGGGCGGAAACACGCCTACTCTCTGATTGGATGAACCCAAGCAACCACGCCCCTCTGCCGGCTTACGTCAGCAGCGTGGCTAACGTCTTAACAGGAACGTTTCCGTGGTTTAGCCTTACAGGATTGTTGTCAGGTGAGAACTTTATTAATCTCAGTTTCTGTTTCTAATCTTGTTTTAAAATCACAATACTATAATAAAATGTTGTATTCACAATGAGCTACAGATATTTTGAAGATAACCGGAAGGGACGTGCGTCACGAGAGCTGAACGTGACCGTGTTTGAGGTTATAGAGAAATAACACCACGTAAAAACATGTCTGACTAAGTCACTTGTTAATAATTATGGTTTTAAAATAACAGTTTAATTTACATTTTCAGACCTGCTTTATCGGGCTTATGTTAAATAAACAAACGCACACTGAAAACACTTCAATTCTAGTTTACTAACCTAAATAACCCGCTTTTAATGTTTTACACCCACTTTATGCTCACGAGGAAGTTATGAGATCTAATAAAAATGTGAAATTAATTTTGTTTATTCTAATAATCTACATAGTAATGTGTACATGTAACCACCAGTCATTGGGTTGCTTAAGGTAAAAAAAAAATCCATGAAACAAACTGAGGTTAACACGTGATTCCTTAAAGCTTGTAAAGGAAACGGAGTCACATGTATGAGGAGCTCATAAATGCTGAAGACGCACGTCAGCGTGCTGACGTCCCTTTGTGACGTCATCAAGCTGACGCACCTATAAATAGCGCGCTAGCACCACCTTTGTCAGTCAGTCGAGCTGAGCTTAGCGGGAAGGATGCGTGGATTCGGTAACCTCTTAACGACCCGTACAGCCATGTTTGCTGTTACTGGGTTCGTAGCAGGTGCTCTAATGACTAAAGCGGTTAGAAGTGCTTATGAACATTTCTATGGAGACTCAGAAAAAGAGGATTTATCCTCTGTAGAACAACCAGAGTCTGATTTTATTAGCCCTGGACTCAAAAAACCAACTTCTCTTTACTTAGACGTCGAACCATCGGTTATAGATGATGAAGGGATGAATTATCTCTCTCTGAAAGCAAACAGAACTGATGTTGAATATTCTTACGGAGAAACAGGAGACGGTTCATCCACTTTGTGGAAACTGGAGTCTGAATTTATCGCTACTGGACCCGAAATAGCAACTAGTCTACTCGGAGACGTGGAACCATCGGTTTTCCACGAAGAGAAGGATTCTGGTTCCCACACAAGCCTCTCTGTGGCCCACGAACCACGGACTGAAAAACCATTTTCTGATTTTACGTCAGATCACATAACTACGTCAGATTTGGATGTGTTTGTGGATGTGCCTGCTGAAAATGATCTGTCGTTGTTTTATACAGAAGACGATCTCTCCTGGGATAAACCAGATACAGACGTCTTTTTCACTTTTAAGGAAGGTTTTGGAGAAATTCAGTCAGAAGAATTGTCTTCAGCAAAGGATTTATGTGAGGGTGACTGTTCTGCAACTACAGAGGAGCTTTTCGATGAGAACGACGAAAAATCGCTCTCTTTAGATCAAAAGCTGGAAACGCCACCCAGTTTTACAGAATTAGAGGCTTTTATGGAAGGAGAAGCGAAAACATCTCTGGTTTCAGCAGAAGTTTGCGATTACGTGTCTGACGGCTCTGAAATGCTTCATGACGCATGTGAGACCTGGTCTGAGCCAGAAAGCGACCTTGACTCATTGCCTTACGATGACAGCGACTTGCCTGATATGGACGAAGGAATGGGTTGCAAACTCGGGTTAGAAACAGATGTGAAAGAGGTAAATTGTGAAAATAGAGCTTCTCTTAGCGGTTCTAATCCTGATACTGAATGGGGGGAGGACGTTGGTCTATCTCGGACTAAGATTATTTGGGAGAATCAGAATGATGATCAGAATAATCTTTCCACAATTATAGAGGAGAACTTTGAGGAGAATGATGAAAAATCACTTTCTTTAGAAGAAAATGAGGAAACGTCTCCTACTGATGAAGAATTGGAGGACGTAGACGGTGAAACATCCGTTTTTTCAGAAGGAGAACTGAGTGAGGGCGACACAGATTCAGAGAAAAACTCTGATTTGCTCTCCGACAGCTTTGAAAGTCTTGCTGGAGATGAAACTAGTTGCACCGAACAAGAAGAAGAGAGTCACGCTGAATACTCGACGTCTGTGAGCCCTGTGGCTGAAACGTTCGTTTCAGAGCAGAAATTAGATGAAGGTAATTCTTCTCCTAGCTGGTCGCCCAGCTCTTGTCACTCTGATGGTGAGGATGAAACACAGGATATTTTAAATGATGATGAAGAGGAAACATCTTTGGTTACGGGGGACAGATTTAATCACAAGCCTGATGATTCTGATGCAGGTGAGACAATTAGCTCCGTTTTAGAGGTCGATGTGGATTTATCACCTGAAGACACAAGTGGCCTTACAAATGAGGAGGCTGAGCTAAAGAGACTAGATGAAATGGAAGCCAAACTTTTGTTGGAGCTTGGTCTAGAAGATCTGTTATGTGACAACGTGGCTCCTCTTAGCTTGTTCTCCAACCCAGATAAGGAAGCGAGTGAGAAAGACGATGGAAGATCTTTAAACTCAGATGAGGAACTGAGTGAGGATGACGATGGAAGATCTTTAAACTCAGATGAGGAACTGAGTGACGATGAAATATCTTTAAGCTCAGGTGATGAGGTTGATGTGGACATATCATGGTCAGATATTGAAGAAGGATTAGCGAATGGGTTAGAATTAGATGCAAATGCAGTTCAAAGGTTGTGGGATTTTGCAAAGAAAGGTAAAACATCTCAGAGAAGAGAAGAAAGCAACGTTGAAAAAGTAAGTTCAGGTGAGGATGATGATGGAAGATCTTTAAACTCAGACGAGGAACTGAGTGAGAATGACGATGGAATATCTTTAAGCTCAGGTGATGAGGTTGATGTGGACATATCATGGTCAGATATTGAAGAAGGATTAGCAGATGGGTTAGAATTAGATGCAAATGCAGTTCAAAGGTTGCGGAATTTTGTAAAGAAAGGTAAAACATCTCAGAGAAGAGAAGAAAGCAACGTTGAAAAAGTAAGTTCAGGTGAGGATGATGGAAAATCTTCATATGAGAAGACACGTGTGGACGAAGCTTTTCCAAGCATGTCCTCCAGGATCTCGTACGAGCCAACCCCGCATCGTCAGAGGAAAAATAATGGATGTAAGGTTGAAGAAAAATCATCAGTTACTACAGGAAAGAGTTCAGGAGTAAATAAAAGTGGAACCTCGATCACAGGAGCCAAAGCTCGGAGGTCCCTGGTTTCTGGCAGCGATACTGAACCAGCGCCCTCACAGGTAAGCGAGACTAAAGCGTCAGTTACATCAGGAAAATACCTGAAGGGACTGAAGAAGAGGTGGGGTATGTTTAAGAAGAAAATTAAGGTTTTTTTATTTAGGAAGTCAAGAAAATGAAATCTCTAAAAAAAGTAGATGCACACATATTCTATAGGTGCTTTTTAAGTCTAGGCTCACTTGGTGACTTAGAACCGAGAAGCTGTTTAGATTTCACTAGCAAGTAGAAAACCTAGAAGCAAGAACAAAAACATTTTTATAAAACTTATGTATTTTCTATCAAATAAAATATAAAAAATTTTGTTATAAAATACACAAAAAACAATAAATAACAAAAAAAAAAAAACATCCCTCCCGCAGAATCGCCACCTTATCGTGGTGGGGGGGTTTGAGGACCTTCCTCCTGGAAGCTGTGTTGTCTGGACCATCAGTCCCTGTTAGGGTCTCCATGGCAGCATGGTCTCAGGTAGGCGGTCGGACTAAGAGCGATTCAAACACCTAAAGATTAGACCTCCTCTATGTGGATGACAAGAGCGAGCTCTTCCATGTAGAGATGGTGCTATCCACGGCCAGTCGTGTTGATTATTTGGTAGACGGGGATCTGACCCCAGCAGGACAGCAGTGGGGGCACGGCGTCTCCTTGGTATTTGATGGAGACTTGTGCTCTCTTCAGTTAGCCATTCAGGGTTAGTCCCAGCCTGGCATGCCAGACTCCTCCTCTGTTTAATTCTGCACAGACTCTGTGACCTGAGGCTCTTTGTTGGATGTCCGCCACAGAGTCTGTGCAGAATTAGAGGAGGAGTCAGGCATGTCGAATCAGTGGGTGATTATCATCTCCAACAGCTTGGTGCTTCACGGTGGAGCAGGACAGAGTGGAGGGATCCAGGTGCTGCAAATCAGCTCCTCAGTAGAAGACAAGGAGGAGAAGTAAAAACGCAAAAGCCAAGCAGCGCTGAACGTAACACCAGGCTAATTGAGTCCCATCCTTTAGCAGCTGCTTCATTTGTGCTGCCAGGCGCTCATGGAGTGCAGTGAGCTTCTTAAGCCAGTAGGTGGGGATCATGTAAGGTCCTGGAGCTGTCCAGTTCTTCAGACCTGACGCTCTTTGTTGGATGTCTGCCACAGTGATGGATTCTGCTCAAGGAGGTTGCTGTGGTCTTCTCTGGAGAGGCTAGCCCCTTTGCATAGAGCCCTGCACGGGCCTAAAATCTGAGCCCGTGTCCGGCCCGGCCCGAGGGGGTGGAGCCCCAGCCCGACCCGGCCCGAAAAGGTTTTCAGGATTCTCTGGCCCGGCCCGAGCCCAAGCCCGACTTTTTTTTAACCAACTAAATGAAAACAAAGTGCGTCAATCCTGACCAATGTGTTAAAAGACGTGCAGGATCCGAGCGTCGCAGAAGCGCATGCGGGAAGCTTACTTCCACTGAAGCGAGTGTTTTCCAAACCCTGTCTCTCAGAGAGACTTGTCACTTAGAAAATGTTCCCTGATTATGAAACTTTGGCTGAATAGCGCTTGTTCCTGTCTCCAATGTGCGACACATCCAGGAGCCGTCTGAGGAGAATCCCAGAATCTCACATCCTCTTCAGCTCATGAGCGCATATGATTACGCACAAGCGTGACCCAACACGGTCTCACAGTAAGACTGGGTTGGAACTGTTCAGGTTTACGCAGACAATCTTCACATAGAATTGACTTACAGATATAAAATTA